TTGGTACTGGGCCCAGGAGCCTGGCCTCTCTCATCTTCAGATGCCACCTCCCAGTCCCTGTTCTTTGCCTGCCCCCTTCCTGGGGAAGACAGCCTCAATCTCCATATCTACATTGCAGGCTCTCAGGTCCCCCACAGGACCCAGCCTAGTATCTGGGTAGGAGGAAATGGAGGCAGGGAGAAGAGTGGCCACACCCTGGTTTGTTCTAGCCCAGTTCTGCTCCTACCACTTGGTGCAGGATTTGGGTTTGATGGTGGTAGAGCAGGGAGGACGGAGGAGAACATCTGGGAGATTAGCATTTCCTGCCCAGCTCTGCGGCTGCCTATCTTGCTCAGCCCTGAGCTGAGGAGGAGAACAGAGGAGCCTTTGAATGGCTCCCAGCAAACAGACTGGGGAGGGTTTGCTGCAGTGGGCAGCAGGCACACGCTGGGGGCAGGGAGACTGGGCAGCTCCTCTGTGGAAGATTTCTTCTCTCTGGGCCACTGATTGCTTCCTTGGAGCTGTGCTCAGCGATGGGGAGAGTATGAGTTTTGCAGGGGACAGAGAGAAACCACTTACAGGACAGATCCTTCTTTCACTAGCTCACCCTATCTCCCATCCAGAGCCCCCAACATGGGCTCCTGGGGCTGAGGGCTGGGGGTGGAGACTAGATCAGGGCCAAGGCCAGAAAGAGAGTCCAGTTGCCGGGGGCTGCTCTGGGGGAGATCTTTGGGCAGTCCTTGCTTGCCTCCTTAGAGATCCCCCACCCTTACCCTGAAGAGTGTTCCACAGAGAGGCCAGGCATAAGAAGGGGAAGAAGCAGAGGAAAGAAACAAAGGATAGAAGAGTGGTAGGGATGGGGAAATGGGGGAGGACAAGGAGGAGGAGTTAGAGGCTATGGCAAATAGAGGCTCAGCAACCATCCATTAGTCTTTCCACACCCGGCTCCAGGTGTTGCCAGGGACAGCTTTCCTCATTCTTTGGGCCTAGAACACCCTGCCTAGGCCTCTAGGTAGTGAAAGGCGGAAGGTCATATTGAAGTGGGGCACCTGGAAGCCTGGGGTACCAAACCCTGAACGCAGGAAAGGGGGTTTCAAAGCTGCTCCGAGACCTCTAGATGGCGCCAGAGAGCCAGAGCTGAGAGGGAGAAACTGAGTATCGGAGTGTATGAGACACTGCGTGTGACACCGTGTGTGACTCGGTGAGTGTGACAGGGAGCGTGTGGCACTGCGAAGGCGTGTGACACAGGCCGTGACACTGCGCGGCCTCGCGGGGCAGGGACCCGTGTGACTCTGTGTGAATGTGTGTATGTCATTGGTTATTGTGTGGGGCCACAACTCCTTATTCGCCCTAAGGGCAGGTGATTGGGGGACCCTCGAATAGCCCGACTCGGGCGCGTTACCTCACTCTCACACTAGCATATCTCCCCCATCCTCTTACTAGAGGAGCCCCCCGGGTCCCATTACCCCCCCCCGCCCCGCGCCACGTTCCGCTCCACAGCCCCACCTTCACCGCTTGCTGCGGCCACGGAAGCTGACCGCTCTGCGGCTTCGGCCAGAGGGGGAGGGGTGGACTTCCCCGGAGCGCAGTGGGAAGGGAGGGCCACACCGGGTGATCTGGGGGTCCTAGCGGGAAGAGGATGAATCTGGAGCAGCAGATGCCGAGGGATGAAGGCACTAGGGGAGACACTTCCCCCTGCCTCGACTTCCCAGGGGGCAGGGTAGGGGACAGGTGTTTGAGTGAGGTTAGGAAGGGAATTCGGTTGGGGTCCCAGATCGGGGCTCGGGTGGGATAAGCGTAAGGTGAAGAGCCAGGGAGGGGGACAGCCCGTGTATCCGGGCCCCGGGTAGTGGGGACATAGCAAAAGGTGGTCCTGGTTTTGGGGAGCGGTGCTCGCGGTCCCCTCCCAGTGGGACCCGAACGGTCCGGAGCTCCACCTCCCGGCCG